ACAAGTTAAACATGAGCCAGCAGTGTGCCCTTGTGGCCAAGAAGGCCAATGGGATCCTAGGGTGCATTAGGCAGAGTGTTGCCAGCAGGTCGAGGGAGGTGATCCTGCCCCTCTATTCAGCCCTGGTGAGGCCTCACCTGGAGTACTGTGTCCAGTTCTGGGCTCCCCAGTACAAGAGAGACATGGCACTCCTGGAGAGAGTCCAGCGGAGGGCTACCAAGATGATTAGGGGACTGGGCATCTCTCCTCTGAAGAAAGGCTGAGAGAGCTGGGCCTGTTGAGCCTGGAGAAGAGAAGACTGAGAGGCGATCTCATCAGTGTGTACAAGTATCTGAAAGGGGAGTGTCAAGAGGATGAGGCCAGTCTCTTCTCTGTGGTGCGCAGCAACAGGACAAGAGGCAACGGGCACAAACTGAACCACAGGCAGTTCCATCTGAACCTGAGAAAAAACTTCTTCACTGTGAGGGTGACAGAGCATTGGAACAGGTTGCCCAGAGAGGCTGTGGGAGTCTCCTTCGCTGGAGATATTCAAAACCCGTCTGGATGTGATCCTGGGCAATATGCTCTAGGTGACCCTGCTTGAGCAGGGAGGTTGGACTAGATGATCTCCAGAGGTACCTTCCAACCTCAACCATTCTGTGATTCTGTGATTCACATGGCATTAGAGATATTTAAAGGCCAGGTACAGGGCAAATTTCATCCAGGCAGTTTTGCTATGACCTTGTCTCTCTTTATTTTTTTTTTTAAACTAAAAATTTCTATTATATGTTTAACACGAATTTATGTATATTAACTCATATAAGTCATAGTGCACCAAGCTAATGGGGAAGGGGGAGTGTCTAATTCTGAGCTGGCACCTGACTGCACTGTCGTCATATAAATAATAATAGTGCTATGTCCTAGTTTTTCCATTGCTTCTCATATGAGCAGGATTGGGTCCTGGCTGCTTGTTTGCTAGAATATGTATTCAAATGCAAATATGAAGTTAATTTCTTTGTCTCTTACTATGAAATTTATTTGTGTAACTAATAATGCGCGAACATTAGCACCTTGTATCTACAAAGTATCGTAAATCTGGTAAACGCCTTAGCTTGGCTTCAGCATTTACTAGATCTGGCACCTTGTATACCCTTTGATTCCACACATTAGCACTTAATTACCTTGTCACATCATTACAACCAGGCACATTTACATTCCGGAGAGGTGCTGTGGGCATGACTCAAAAAGATGAAAGAATAGCTGTTTTGCCCTTGCATCAGGAAAATTTCTGAGAAATTCCCCTCAGGCAGTAAGGTAATGGGACTAAGCTTGTCCCTTTGTTCGGGATCCTTTCAGCAAAAAGACTGGATACTGGCTCCTGCAAGATCTTCTGCCCCTCTGAAAGCTAAAATTAGTACAAGGCTGGGTTCTGAAGTTTTGTAATGATGTTCATAGGTCTGAAGGGTAAACATCTTGAGTACCAATTTGTGAA